CACACCATCTATCCATTTTTTCTAATTCTTGCTGTATGGCGTTTACTGTTATTCCAAGATCTGTGTTCTTGCATTTATACGTCACCTTTAAGTCATCTGCATATAGTATTGGTTTACCTACACTAAAGCATTCACAGATACTGTTTATATATATCATGAATAAGAGTGGGCCTAATAAACTTCCCTGGATCGCTCCACTACTTACTGATTTAGGTCCCTACTTCGTGTAACTTCGTTGAAAAAATCTGTATGACAGGTCACACATGATCTCTTTTTGAGAAATACGTGTTGTGATGGATTGACAAGTCCATGTTCTAGTAAATTATCTGACACTTGGTCTTTAACCACTTTCTCCATTATTCGGGATGTTACCGGCGTTATATTGATGAGCCTATAGTTGCATGCACTGGTTTTGGCCCCTGCTTTGTGCTTAGGTAATATGTATGTGGTTTTCCACACTTCAGAATAAGTTCCAGTTTCCAACGAGAGTAAATATTCTAAGTAACAAGACTACCATTTCCGTGCTACTATTTTTGTATATGACAGATGGTACGTCGTCTGTTCCAGTGCTACCATTAGACTTCAATGTCTTAATCGCTGATTCTATATTTTGTATATTAAATTCTATTTCACCCAATTTGTGGTTACTTTTGCAGGTCATTTGGAAATTTTGGGCCGGGTGCACTCTGGCGTCATTCCAAAACCACTCACTGAGGAGTTCACTTATAACATGTGGATCATTGTATATTATACCCTTATGTTCCAAGCTGCTTACATTATTGTCTTTACTGCTTTTTAGACGTTTCTGCAGTGTCCTACAAAGTTCCTGAGTTTTGGAGTTACCCACAAGCGCTTTATTTTCTTCAAGCTGTGACATCATTTTGTATTTATCTTCAAGCAGTTTAAGAGTTTCATGTATTTGGTCTAACGCATTAAATTCCTTAAATACATGGTATTTCCTTTTCAATTTCTTTAGTTTTAGTCGCGTTTTGCGGTCTATAAATGGAGTTGGTGTCTTTAGAGCAGATTTTAGGGGCGCGATTATGTCTCTTGCTGAGTCAATTGTTTTGCAGAAAATCTCAAGTGATACTTCTAAGTTATTGTTAATGAAGTATTCTTCCCGGTCAGAACTTCTCAACAGATCTGATGGGAATTCCCAATCGGCATTCTTACAGTCCCTATATTGATAGCGCACCGGGGAATTTTCAGGTGTGTATTTAGTTGTTAGTCGGAGGGGTAGCGTGCAGTACAATATGTTGTGATCACTGTTATCAAGTTTATTTCCTACCTCTATCGAGATAGGCTCTATTTCATGACAGAGGATTAAGTCAAGAGTATTTTTGTTTCTTGTAGGGAGGTGTAAGCACTGCTTCCATCCACCTACGTCTATAGCTTGTAGTACCTCGTCATGGATTCTAGGTCCTGTACAGGTATCCCAGTTTACTCCAGGTAAGTAGAAATCGCCACAGACTACTTTGTTGTCAAAGTCCAGCGTAGCTACATGCTCTAGTATTTCTCCAATAGTTATATCAGTCATTTCAGGGTTATTGGGGGGTCTGTATACACATCCCACGAGAATTTTATTTCCGCTTGTGTGGATGCTTATCCACTTAGATTCAGGGAGTTTGTCAGTAGTTGGGTTATTGAAATTATTGAAGTTAGTGGATTTAGAGGCATATATTAAGCAGCCGCCTCCTCTTTTGTCAACTCTATCGTTCCTATAGATGTCGTAGTTGTCTATTACTAGCTTTGAGTCAGGTATATCAGTAGTAAGCCAGGTTTCAGTAACCATTATTAGTGTTGGACGTTCTGTGCATGCCAGGCAGCGAAGCGATGTTATTTTATTAAGGAGAGATCTAGCATTCAGGAGCATAATCGTTAGTAAACCAGAGTTATTGGAGGAGAGGTTAACATGGTTACTTGTTGAAGGAATATATTGTAACGTGGTGTTTTCTGTAGCCGCAAAACGCAGTTACCTAGTTTCGAATTGATATCATGCGTCTAATCCTATTAACCTATGGATATAGTCCTTCCTTCACGATATCTATAAGTCAGGAGCACACTGCTTTTGGCAGATCTAGTTTTACTTTGTGACTAATTAGTGAGTAACCTAGTGTTGTGATAGTAGAAAAAACAACTTCAAACTTAAGTATTTTCTATATATGAACATATTTACTTATTTTGGAGACAATTTATTCTTTTTATCAAGAAACCCCTAGGGATATCAACCTTTACTTGGTAATTTGGATCCTAAAGCAAACGACACGTTACTAAGTTATTCAAAAGACAGAATTATTAGTGAAATATTACTCGGATACTTATTCTAACGAAACCGAATAATGATAATCATTTAGACCACCAATATGCCGTTTACTTTTAGTCTTAACATGTATTATTACAGCAGAAAGCTCTATGGTTTCGGAGCTTACTTTGAAAGTATAGTGGTGGGCAAATGAAGTAGGCAACCTCAATAAATACATGGAAAATCATCTATCAGTCATTGTCGTTCAGTAGATAAAGAGAGCCGGACATATCGTGTGGAAGATATAATTCAGACTTGGTTAATCGTTCGATCCCTCTGAATTCCATGATCACTAACTGCTCCCGAGTGGTCGTAATATTGCATTCAACGGAACACATCTCTCCATAAAACATATTTTTCAGGCCATGACGGTACGCTAGCCTCGTGGGATATTCTTCCTCCTTCACCCAAGTTTGTCAAGAGGAGTAGTTGCACAAAATCTTTGTCTTGTTGGTTTGTCATCACTAGAACTACAAATTTTTGGACTGCCTGCATGCTAATCCATGCCACTTATGTTAAAGGCGAGTTTTTTATTCGATAGTGTTCCAGGATCAAAGTACGTTGCCTTCTGGCAACTGCAACAGCTTTATATTCTGTGCCATGAGAGTCACTGAAGCTAGCACACTAAAAGTGTTTGATCTTACGACATGTGTATGAGTAGTAAAACTGGAGAAGCGAGTAGAAATGACGAAGTGTGACGGAATCAGGTGAAATGGCAATGAATGGAGACTTAATAAATCTTATGTGAACAAAGGTTTGAACCAAATACGGTCTTCTTCAGCATACAAGTGACCTGGCTTATTTCAATGGGAGAAGGCTGACGCCTGGAAACGAGAAATGTAGAGCGCTTACTTATGAAATAAAATAGAATGAAGCAAATAGATGGTATTAATGATTATTGCTAACAAGAAAAGTGAAATGAAACATTAGGACTTAACAGAGTGAGACGAACTGGATTACCATTGGGGAGAGACAAATGAAGCCTTGTGAATCGTTTGTTCGCTATGAAAAGCTGGGTTTAGGGTTTAGTGGATGAGTTAGTGCCGATGTTCACGCAAAATACAGTGTATACCAACGCAAGTACATGTATCCACAAATGCTATATTACTTGTTCTGTGTAGAGCTGAGGCAAATCTCAACGCAATTTTGATCATACAAAATACGAAGTTTATTTCGCGAGCAAAATTGTAGTGCTATGTTGAACGCTAAGCTAGTTTGTGACCGTTCGCGAAAGAATGAACGAACGAACTTAGCACAATGGCGTGCCAGATGCCGTGTTTGCCTGACCGTGAGCCTTCAGCTTAAACAATTGGACCTAATCAGTGAAGATAAGCATCTAATGTTGAGTGGTAAATACTGCGGGCTAATAATTTAAGGGGATTACACACCGCTACGAAGTTAACCACGAGAAACTGATCGAATACTTTTCACTAGCAGAGCCCTTGACTGATACTTTATGTCTGAGGCCCTCGCTACGCAGAGGAAATACGACCGCTCACCAATTTGGAGAACTTCCTCCTACTATGTTAATAATGTAGAATGTTGAATCGAGCGCCTCATCCTCACTTGCCCATACGTAGCTGGTTAGAACTTCTAATGCTCTCGATATATATTATTGGACCACCGAGAATCTTCATGTGACTTCTTATTTACAGATGATATCAGGATTTGTGTAGTTATAAATGACAACATAGATGAGTTAGAATTTTGTGCTGATTTAAGGAAAATACCGGTTTATCTATAGGCCTCAGTAAAACCCAGTCGCAGCGGTGTATCCCGGTATTAGGTGATGTTTTCTTCACCTTATGGGTGGTTTGCGTTAGCGTATGTCTAAAGACAGATGGATTTAAGGATTGTAGTAAGTCGAAACTTAAAGACTGCGGCATACAATGGTATGAAGACCGGCGAAATACTAAGGATGCCGAAGACTTTCCCAAGGGTTTCATATCTTAATGAGGACAAGATTTTAGACAGAGAAGTTTATTCCAGGATGAGCTCAAGAGATCTGGCATTCTGTTTTGAAAAGAGATTGGAAAGTTGAATTATCTCTTCAAAATCACATCGTAGGCTGACAGATAATGACTCAAGTGTTGAACTGTTTAATCTCTTTACTCATTTCCAGGAACCCGTTGGGGTTTACCACTAGCTTCCAAATAACTAGGTTGGATAAGCCTAAGGAATTCAGAATCTTGAACAGGGGGGAATATGCCATATAATCGCCCGGGGGATGGAGGTCAGCGAGTTAAACTCATTGTTGGAATCTGTGGAACAGATCCCCACACTACACGGTTTTGAGGTAGAAATCAGTATTTTCAGAGAGTAACAGAAGCTGTTGAATATTACAATTCACACACAAAGTAGACCGACTATTAGAAGCATGGTTGGCGAAACGTCTGAATGAAATCATGAAATCTACTTCTCTAATAAGCTGTCTTAAGGAGAGATTTATTTTCATGGAATTATTCACTTAAAACTATGGTGGACCGATTTTGCTACCATCTTTGCAAGTGAAGACTGAACAGACTGAAAATTGAATACCTTTCTTGCGGCGATTTGTTCTCAGCGGAACTTTGGCATTACCACATGAGTCGCCTTATTCGGCGCTTCAGCAACTGCTTCACTTCCCGCTTTATGGTTTCCTAGCATTTACTACAAAACGTCAACTGAAACAAGTTTTTATTACAAAAGTCAGGGGAAAATGGAGGGAGAAAAGTGGTCACCTAGAGCTAAACATCAAAAAATTGTTGAGTTGGATGACATTCCAGTGGTAAGCTGTGGTTTTTTCTGTCATATGTCATCTAAAAGGAAATCACGGGTTACTCTCCGTCTCGATTTCGGACTATTTTTGCTTACCTTGGCATGTTTATAACATGTGGTCTGTTAAGACTTGTTTTTCATTGGTTTCCCCACTGGATGCTGATGTGCATGAATAAAAAATGCAGTTTGCTCGAGGCTGAGAAAATTCTTGTCAAGGTAAGAAATGTTAATAACTTGCTTTTTTTCTTGCAATAAAATGAGAGACCCACTAAGTGATTTGCTTTTTTTTTCTAGGATGCATATGGTATTTACTACATACATGATGTGCTTGTTGATACGATTGAAGGGATCAGGTAGGTACAACTAAACTAATTTATATGAATTAGGAATAACGCTGATAATGGCTGCACCCTTAAGTCTGGATCATCCATGAGATCTCATATGGCATGTCAAAGAAACGTACGTCATTTATTCTCTTTAAATAACCCTATTCAGGATGATGGAAAAATTTGTTATTTTATGCACAAGTGCCTGAAATACATTTGGAACAATAGAACTAATCATTTCGAGCCTCTCAGGTTAGTTTAACCCAAAGCTCTTTTTGTTGCAACCAGCAATTACTAATTCACTTTTCCGATTTAGCATAATTTCTGATTTTTATAGTTTATGTAGAGTTTCATGGTAGGAAATGTATTGTTGTAGTTCGAGTGTTTCTAGTGGTGCTTTTATTGTTCGAAACAAAAAAGAACTCACTGTCGTACTGACTATGTGTTAATCTGATCTCAGTTTGGTTCCTATTTTAAGCTTAACTGTAGATGTATGGCATCGCCATTTCGCCTCCCCTCAGGTTTTCCGAGGTTGAAACTCGCCACACTAACTGACGTAATCTCGAAATGTTTCCAATGATTTTTGTTATCATTTTGAAATAAATTAAAGACAGATCAAATATGTAGTGTGTAGTGGCGTTGCAGGTGAAAGTATGATTCGTTTGAAAGGGTTACAGATTATTATAAGCAAATAATCAGTTGCTAAGGTACCCATACTTTGTAGCAGTGTACTCTTGGCCAGTTAGGGGGACGGTTAAGTGATAATTCGAGATGATTAGACCTAATTACCATGGGGAGTTTCACTCGCATGTCATTTTAAGAAGTATACAAATTTTTTGTGAAGTGAATATCTAGAATTTGCAAATTTCAGACACTGGTTCTCATATGCTAAGAATCTTGTTAACCAGTCCCTTTCTACCCTTCATTTCCACAAAAACGTTTCTTATGTGATAAAATATTGAATTAAGTCTCAAATGCCTGTGATTTCTGAATGGCATGGAAATAATCAAGTCAAAACTACCAAATCTCGACTTTGACTTTTAAATTATTATTAAAAAAAAACAAGGTTGGTAATATACGGGTTTGTAAACAGTTGTTTGTAAAATGTCATTTTACTTATTGATTATTTCTTTTTAATAAGACAATTTTATCCACATATTTCTTATACTTTTTCTTCAGAGGTTGGCACGAAGCTCCATACAAAGAGGTTTTCTATTCTAAACCTCTAAATAATGAGACAGTAATTAGGCGTCGTGCTTTGTATGGGATAAACGAAATAAGTATTAGCCTCACTCCTATCGTTAAATTACTTCTCGAAGAAGTAAGTTAAATGAATTTAAATTATAAAATATTCATTTTCGAAAATAATTTCATTTGTTAAGTGATTTTAAATATCTTCATCTTAAAGTAAACAATATTGACCAGTGGACATTTTGTCAATTTTTTTTCTCATCTCCATCTAGTGTTTCAATCCGTTCTATTGTTTCCAAATATTCAGCTGCATCTTGTGGTATTCAGATGAGTATTGGATGTATGCTACTTGTATCGTCGTTATTTCTGTAATGTCTCTTTCTTGGCAAGTTTATGAACTGCGTAGAGTAAGTAGTTGCAGATTTCTTTATTTATTCTTTAAAAAAATGAGTGCTTTTGTTAATTATTTGTTAGGTGTAGAAGTACTCAATCCATGGTGCATACAATTCTACTTAACAGAGTTATACTTCCACTCCATATAATTTATTAGTGTTAGCGGCTATCGTATTGGTTAATATTTTCATTAATGGCTATAGTGTTCCTTTAACTTGTCCTGTTGATTTTAGCCACTGCTGTTTATCTACTACTTCCTAGAGTACTTCGTCACTTTCATCATAATAATATGAAGGATAGTCGTTGGCATTAGTCATTTTATTTAGTTATTAGAAAGTGTTGAATAGACTAAAAATTCCATTGAAGCATTTAGAAATCAGAAAATGCTTAGTTACTTCTACTTTCCTCAGAGCTCATCAGCAGGATATACTAAGTGAAGTTTTTTTGTTTTTTGCAATTCTATTGCAATGTTCTATGTAGGCTACAGTGTGATATTAATTTTTAATTGAGAAAAGCAGTGAGAATCGTCTGGAACTTCAGTAATTGATTGTTTCTGTCACCTTAACGTATCTTTAAAAGTCACCTATTTCTAACTTTATATTAATACTTATGTTTATTACGTACGGTATATATATTTTTTTTAGAACGAGCGAACTCTCAAAGAGACTATGTGCATATCTTCTACTGCAATTGTTTGTAGAGAAGAAGGCGGCACTGAAGGTATGTAAATATTCCACATGCCATTATTTTTTCTGCTCAAAGCATATTTAACCGGTAGAATTTTTCCCCACTATTATTATTATTATTTATATCACAAGCAATATCTTGCTGTATTTGGAATTATCTGGTTTTGTTTTTTCATTGTTATGAGTTTCTGATATGACATACAGGATTATATGTCATGAAAATGATTATCAGTGTAGTAAATACCGAAATATTATTAGTTTAGCTCTTGTTTAGTGAAAATATTGCAATCGCAATGCATGCATTAACACACAACCACACAATAGGGTGGGAGAGGGTTAAAATTCTAAAAAGTAATCTAGGTAGGTGGAGAGAGAGGTTGATTACTGAATCTTTGTTCATTGAATCTACACCCAACACATGCAACAGAAGTGACTCAATGCAAATACCAGAAATATGGAAGATATTATTGCCGCCAGTCAAATCAGAAGAAGATGATAAATAGTCTTAAAATTCTATTTCCATTCAAGCACATCATAACATTCTAACAATCAACTTATTATGACTGTAAAAAACACTCGTCGTATTTCCCATCTAATTGCAATGGATTAATAACACTCGTACTATTATTTCTGAATGTACATTATCTCATTGAATTTTAATCCAATATCTAGTCGATTCCACACATGTATATAAATGAAGGAAAGAAGTTGTGTGAGTAACTTGATATGATTATGAGCAATAGTTTGTGCTCGAAACGTCATCAGTAAATATTACTGTATAACACTGTGAGATTCTATCAAAAATTAAAAATTTACCCATAATGGAATTACAGACACAAACGTTGAATAATAATAGTAATAATAATGCTATTAATTATTTGCATCACAATGGGCTAGATTCTGCAATCCAAAATTGTTATTATTAGTTACTGTTGGTAGATATATGACCATAAATGCAAAGAGTACGGTGTAATATCTTCAGACAGATAGATACAAATGGATGATAGAGGATAGTATTTCAAAGTGTTGCTTTACAACATCACAGATGGTAAAATGAATTAAACGGAAATACCGGATGTGTATGATGTGAATGAAATGTTCAAAATTTCAAAAAACTTTCAAAACATCATTGTGACAGGTTTGCTAACGTTTTATTGACAATATTTGGTCATCAATGTTTAGCATCTGTAGCGGTTGGGGTCAGGAATGGGATGGGATGGGGTGGGGTGGGAGTTCATGATTTCATGCACCAACCTTATTCCTAATGTAGCTAACTTACATATTTGGGAAGTAGTTATGAGAAGCTATTTATTTTCCTTCTTCTTCTGACTATTTACTAGCTAAATATTAATCCATGAGGGTTATCAGTAGCCAACGGATGTTTGTGTTCAGCTTCTGTTAAGTGTGTGTTGACTTACGCACATTTGGGTTGGTATGATTTGTGTACAGTAGAAGCCATCTTTGTATACTGATATAAGTCGTTGACACATTTTTTGTTATCCAGTAAATATCAAATATTATCCGTAAAAGTTTTGTTGCATTCTGCTATTAGCTAGTAAAAAAAATAATGAACAAAGGTTATCAAATAAAGTTTTTTGGTCTTACTAGGGCTTTTTTTTGCATAATTTTCAACCAAAGTAGCACACTATCACAGTTGTGGATATGCTTCGACTATCGATAGAAGTACTAGATAAACACACATTTTATGTACTGTGTTTACTTAGGAGAGTAATTGTCTTTTTAATTATTATATCTTGAAGAATATGAGACAAATTTCGTGTAAGATTATGTAACTGTCAGGTTAATAAAAGATTTTACCTTAAGCAGATTATTTCTAGTCGATAAAATTGACAAAATAAGATATTCCTGAGGCAAAAATTCAGAAGTGGGTAGAAACAGTGAAAATAAGGACAATGTAGGCATAGTTATAGTAACTTCTTCCTACGTTAACTTGCTGTGATTGAACGCTGGGTAGTAAGTAACCATTGTCATGCGTCGTCTAGTCTTTTTTTGGTGTAAACTGAATTCTATTCGGTCAAGTTTGTAATGTGGACACCAGAATGCTAGGTGGCTCGCCATCACGGTAAACTCCGAATTTTCGTAATTAGATGGCTGGAGGTAATCGATCACAGGAAGTCTTGACTGCATCTAGGTTTCGTGCTTGTTGGCACTCACACACACGCACCAGTCAGCAAGGCGTATCTGAAATCTCCAAGGAACTCATGTCCCGTATGTGGTTTGAACCCGTGTCATCCAGAGTGCCTCCAGCACTCTAATAACAACAATTTAGAGTGCACTGTGATGGTGAGCCACATGGTGGCCTCATTGCGAACTTGATAGACTGATAGAATTTAGTATTATTATTGTTCCCTTGGGTTCCTAAAAGAACATAGGCCTTCAACTGCACGCCTCCACTTGCTTCTGTCTTCTGCTTTACTTTTCGCTTGCATCCATGTTAGTCCATACTGTTTGAACTCCTCTTCACACGATCTCCTCCATGTCACCCTTGGACGTCTCACTCGCCGCTCCCCTTTCGGGTTCCACTCGAGCATTGGCCTGACGCGCGATGTCACCCAGCGGCCTCCTCAGCGAGTGTCCAATCCATCTCCATTTTCTCCTGCATACTTGTTGGGCGATTGGTTCTTGTTTTGTTTGTTCCCATAGTTTCTTGTTGGTGATTCTTTCCGGCCATCTGATCTTCACTACAGAGCGAAGACAGTTGTTGATAAAGGTCTGCAACAGGCTGTTGGAAATATTCTTGGTGACCCGCCAAGTTTTTGATGCGTATAGAAGAACTGACTTGACGTTTGTATTGAAAATCCGAATTTTGTTGTTGATGCTGAGTGACGAAGATTTCCAGATTGGTTTCAGGTTGATGAATGTGTTTCTCGCCTTCCCGATTCTCGATTTGACATCTTCGTCCGTTCCTCCTGTAGTTGAGACAATGCTCCTTAGATAAGTGAATGAAGTGATCTCTTTCAAATCCCTCCCGTTGATGGTGATTGGCGCTGTATGTTGCTGCTGTTGTTGTTGTTGGTTGGTTATTTTCATAACCTCCGTCTTGTCTATGTTCACCTGGAGTCCTGTCTTTGCTGCTTCTTCGACCAGTTTGTCGGTTTTCGCTTGTAGGCCTTCGATTTTGTGTGACATCAAACATAAATCATCCACGAAATCCAGGTCTTCTAAGTTCTTCACGTGGGTCCAGGATATCCCTGTCTTCTCGTTTCCTACTGTCTGACGCATAATCCAGTCCACCACAATTAGGAATATCATTGGTGATAATAAACACCCTTGTCTGACTCCTGTGTTTACTCCAAACGCTTCGCTGAGTTTTCCGTTGTGGATCACTTGACATGTGCCGTTGTCGTACAGCTGTTGAATGAGGTTGGTGAATATTTGGGGTATGCCGTAGTACTCGAGTAGTTTCCAAATTACTTTGCGGTCAATGCTGTCAAAGGCCTTCTCCAAAGTCTATAAAGTTGAGGTAGAGGTTTGATTGCCATTCCATGCTTTGTTCGATGATGATGCGTAGAGTTGCAATTTGGTCAGAACATGATTTGCCTTTCCTGAATCCAGCTTGTTCTGGTTGGAGTTCTGTATCCAGTGTGTCCTTTATTCTCTCTAGGATGATGCGACTCAGGATTTTACTTGGCGTCGACAGGAGCATGATTCCTCGCCAGTTCTTGCAGAGTCCTAGGTCGCCCTTCTTTGGTAGTTTCACGAGGTAACCTTTCCTCCAGTCAGTAGGCACCTTCCCCTCCTTCCAGACCTTTTGCAATAATGGAGTCAGCATTTCTGCTGTCGTTTCTGGGTCCGCTTTCAGTGCCTCAGGGGGTATTCCTTCTTGTCCAGCTGCTTTTCCAGCTTTCAGAAGCTTGATTGCATTCAAGACTTCAGCTTTCGTTGGAGGATTGGTGTCAACTTGCAGTTGTGTACGTGCTGTTGTTGGTATTTCTGGACGGGTTGCAGTTGGTGGTCGGTTCAAGAGTCCTTTGAAGTGATCCGCCCATTGTTTAATCTGTCTTTCTTCCTTGGTAATTGGGTTCCCTTGGCTGTCTTTTATAGGTTTCACTTGTGTTGATCTCTTCCCGGATAGAGACTTGGTTATCTGATATAATGTCCTCAGGTACCTGTTGCCTGCTGCCTTCTCAGGTTCAGTGGCCAGATTGTAGTAGAATTGTCTTTAGCCCTTACTAGCACTCTTCTTCACTTCTTTGTCCAGTCCTGTGTAAGTTGAGCTCAGCGTCTCTTTCTCTTGTCCGTCTTTGCACTGAATCATTTTCTCTTCCACCATTCTCCTCTCCTCTATTAGCTTCCAAGTGTCTGTTGAGAGCCATTCCTTGTCCTGTTTCTTCTTTCTCCCTAAAACCGTTGAACACGTTTCGTTGAAAATCACCTTCAGAGAGTTCCAATGGTTTTCCATGCATGATTCCTCAGTGATGCCACGTAGTGTTTCCTGCTTTGCTCTTACAGTTGCAGTGAAAGTGTCCTTCAGTTTTTGAGTGTTGAACTTGCATTGTGGCCTATCCCCAGGTATTCTCGAGGCTTTTAGTTTCACCTTGAAAGTCCCTTGTACTAGATAGTGGTCTGAACCCACATCTGCTCCTCTCCTCGACCTTGTGTCCACTTCCTTGAGATGGAAATGAAGTCTATCTGGTTTTTGGTGTGTCCATCTGGTGAAATCCATGTCGCCTTGTGAATATCCTTGTGTTTGAACACACTGCCACCAATCACCAAATCATTGAAGGCGCAGAAGTCTGAGAAGAGTTCACCATTTTCGTTCATTTCACCGAGGGCCTCACGACCCATGGTGAGTTCTCTTCCTGTATTGTCTCCTCCCAGCTTCGCATTCACATCACCCATCAGGATTTTGATATCGCCATTTGGGACGTTGTCCATTACTGTTTGTAGTTGTCTGTAGAAGGCCTCCTTCTTCTCTTGTTCTGAGACGTTTGTAGGCGCATAGCGTTGAATGATCGTGACCTTCCTTCCTTTTGAGTTGAACCTGGCTGTCATTATCCTGGAGGAGATTGGTTCCCACTGCATGAGAGCTTTGACTGCTGTTGACGACATCAAGATGGCTACTCCCTCGGTGTGCTCGTGATTGTCCTCTGGGTAACCGGAGTAGATTATTGTCTCTTCAGTTGGTAGTTGGCTCCTTCCACATCCGTTCCATCTGCTCTCGCAGATTCCCAATACTTCTATTTTATATCTTCTCATTTCTGCGGCTACCTGGGCAGCCTTTCCAGTTTCGTACATTGTACGAATATTCCACGTCCCCATCCTTATTTTTGCTTTCATCGAAAGAAGGCACATCGGCTGACTGGCTTCCCGAAGGCTTTCACCAGCCTGCATCATTTCACTTCCCCGATTCCAGCGAAAAATAAGCTTATTGTTCATATTTTTAGAATTTTGAATATATTTGTGCGTTGAAGTTTTTGTAGCGATTTGGTTAAGTTTTGGGGGTGGAGTTGCTAGCACCACGCCCCAACCCTCCCTCTTTTTCTGGGCTTCGGTATGGCTAGAAAACTAGTGACCTAGTAATCTAGGCGAGGTTCTGATAGAATTTAGTCTGCAGTAAATAAAAGACTAGACACATGACACTAGTTAGTGTTCAGTCAAAGAAGTATCTAATACAGTCGGTCAGTTGAGAGCCCTCATAGTTGCTCAGTGGTAACGTCTCTGACTGCAGTATTCGCTGGCTGACACAGGTTTGAATGTCATGAGGGAAATGAATCCTTTGAAGATTGAAGATACGCCTTGCTGACTGGTGTGTTTGTGCCAACAAACACGAAACCTATATGCAGCCAAGGCTTCCTGTTGCCGATTGCCTTCAACCATCTAATAACAAAAATTTAGAGTTAATTTGCTCCTTACTTGGTACTGACGTTCAACAGAGATCGGGCTTTTCAGTTCAATATTATAATCAATCAACAGAAGAATGCAAATTAACGTAAAAACTAATAATCACTGATATACCTGTTGCACAACAGGTGGCTCTCGTGGTCAAGTTGATAATCCTTTAGCGTTTGAAATGGTGGATACGGGGTTCGAGTCTCCCTGTGGCAACACCGTCATCAATCACTGCCGGTGTAGGTACATCAAGCTGACGGATACCAAATAGTAGGACGAAATGGGTTCCATTGTTAGTCACCATCAATCAAAATAACTTGAAGTTATAATAATAATAATAAGCTGATAGGCCCCTTACAGACAAAATAATAATTACACAACCTGTAAATGCTAGTTATCCACACAGATAACAGACACGTAGAGATAGTCTAAATGTAGGGAAATTTTATCTAATTATACTTAGGAGTTATAATAGACCAGAATGTACACCTACCCGGGTTTGATATGCTTCTGAATACATAAGTCATGCTTGCTTCTCAGTTATTGTGTATATGTAATTTGGACGAGACCAATATAATTTTATGTCATTGTGTTTTCCACTAATTTAGTATTCAGTGAAGTGGATTCGTCATCTTTGGTTCCTGGTGATCTAATTGAAATTCCACGTAATGGATGCTTGGTTCACTGTGATGCTGTTTTATTAGCTGGAAATTGTATAGTGAATGAAAGTACCTTGACCGGTAAGCTGCAAATGTTTAATTTGTAACTCATATGTAACAGTTCAAAATGCAACAGTTATCTGTTGTTGGTTTTCTCTCCCTCTCTCTGTCTCTCATGAGTTCTCCTTGATTTTGTTGCTTTCATTGAACAGTTACTTGTCATAACTTTCCTACGTTCACCCGTCCTCTCTCTCTCCCTCAATCGCTTTTGAAACTAATTTAAAAAAGTTTGTCATAAACTATATAATTACGTCTAATAGTGAACAAACCTGTCATATGCTCTGATGGTGTTCTCGTGACTTTTGTTGCCAGATCTGCCAAGGGCGATGGGATAGTACGCGACCTAATGGTTGTGTGCAAGGTTTGAAGAAGGCTGTGTGCTATATGCATGCGCCTCGCCCTGTTAATGTTAGTGCGTCGGTGGCACAGCGGTTAGGACGCTCGCCGACCATGCATATGGCCCAGGGTCCGATCCCCGGTGGACGCACTGCTTCACCTCACTAAGTCAGAAATAAAAGCTGGTAACGAGGGAAAGGTTGGACATGAGGCTAGCAACCCCATTCTGTAAAAATAAACAACACTGCTACAGAAACTTCAAGCCTCTAGTTTGAAGCCCTATGTTCCACTGGAAACGTAAAGGAATAAAAAAAGTCGTGAACCAGTTCATAAATGTGAACACTTTGTATGTTGTATCATTTCGTCAAGCATTAATGAGAATCAAGGACTCATATGCATTCATGTTTTTTTCCAGATAATAAAACTATAAAATAGTGTCAAAACTGAGGGTTAGTTGATTATCAGTAACTCAGTGGGCTACTTTCGTATTGCATATAGAGAAGCAGTTTAAGCATTTAGCACTAATTAAAACTTGTATTTAGGATCACATAATAAGACCAGCAATTCTAGCGGTAAATTTGTATTAATCCGAATACTCGACCTCGAATAGATAGACAAACAGTTAGTTAGTTTTAAAAAGTCAGTAACTGAATTAGTTTATATTCTCCTTCAAGTAATCTCTCCTCCCCCACATAAACTCAGTGTTAACCGCCAATGTGGATTAGTGACTTGAAAAATCAACTTCTAACCTGCTAGTCCCGCTGTCGCAGTCTCATTCCATCCGTTTTAATGTCTCCAACAGGTTAATATCACGGTAAGTGTAGCCGCAATAGTGTGGTACATTAAGAATCTGTTATGCGTAACTTCGTTCTGACTGTTAGTGGAAATACAGTTACATGATCTCATCATGGGCTGACATCGATTAGAGAACCATTGGAAACCTGGGAGTACTGGACAGCTGTTCCATCGTAGATCGGGACTCTTCATCAGTACGCACCCAATGGGGTTCAAACCCAGGACCTTCCGGTTACAGGGTGAGATCTTAGACCATTAAGCCACTGGGACCCGATAGAATGGCCAGGACATGAATTCCAATTCCTACCGATTCACGATATAGCGCGACGACTAGCCAATATCATCGGCGAGTATTTGCTTTCGCATCCGACGTGCAAACCAACACTTTAACATCAGTGTGATGCACACTAGCGATTGACCCTATTCAGGTAGGTAGTTACCTGAGTTCTAAGAGCTCACCTTGTAACTGGAAGGTACTGGGTTCGTAACCCTTACGATAGGTGTGTACTGCCTGAAAAGTCCTAAGCGCTAGGACGAAACAGCTGTCTGGTACCCCTCCTAGTAGGTTTTCCACTGGTTCTCTAACCAATGTGTCAGCTCATGATGAGATCCTGTAACCAATCAAATGTTCGCAAACCAACACTTGGAAATACAGTTATTCACTGTCATATAAATAGGAATAACCAACTGAATTATAATAACACACGGAATCATTACACATTAGTGAATAATTGAATGTAGACAGACCATCTCATTGGCTCATGTGTGAACATTCACAAATCACTACACTTCACTACATAGAAGTGTTCATTAGTAGTACACAAATTATTTGATAGTAGAATTACCATTGTAAATTGAATGTGAACAAAGATGTCATATCATCCAGGATGTCATATAGTTAGATTTTATTATTTATTTCTATGTCAGGGTGTGGCTACTCAGCCAGCATCCACTTAAAGGCTTAAAGACACAGGATATTGACTATAAGATTAATTACAGTAACGCGGAAGTGGACATAAAGAGTAGAATGTGAGTAGAAGACTTACTTAGCTTCCCATTTACTACTGCCATCATGTTGCTCATGTTAATTAATCATATTTTATCTGTCTTTGTAGTATAGCCTTTCCGTTTGATTATTTTTATTTCGTGTTCGATCTTCACTAATTGAAAATATTGGATAACCGTTTTAATTAATATTATTACTGTTACTGCTTCAAAATTGATCACAAACCGACTTCAGTTAGAGAATCATTAAAAATCAGGAAGTATAGGATGACAGTTTTGGCCTTGTTCAGGACTCTTCAGCTTCCTCGATTCTAACTTTTGCCAATTCTGGAATTATAGTAGGGTAGCCAGCCACTAGATTCCGTTTCACAGATTAATTGGTCCTAGGTTTGATCCCTATCGATGGAGTTCGTACTACCAAAGAGTCCCAAACAAGGACGAAACAGGTGTCCAGTACTTCGTGGTTCCGATGGTCCTCCAGCTGAAGTCAGTTTGTGGTCAGTCTTGGAATCAATCAGATCCCTGAAAATAAACACTTGCAAGTTTATTATTATTGTTATCGTCATATTGTTATTTGGTACTGTCACGCTAGCTATCTGTGGTTCCGAACTGTTTAAAAACCGAGTGTTCAAAAATTCGAGTGTCGGTACTGTATAGGGAAGGCTTTTTTCATCAAAAACAAAGGCGTCATCCATTTGCAGCACAGTTCCATCTGTTCCTACATATATATATATATATATATATATTACTGTAAAGTGATATCAACCTAAATCTATGATTTATGTTTAATGCTTTTGATTTCCTTATTTTTCTTCTTCCTTTGAACTTATTTGTTCAGTAAAGTATTGAAAAAAGTATGATATTTCAAAGTGTGGTAGTTAAAATGATATAAGTTTGTCTGTCAGCATACAGGCAGCCAAGAAATAACTGGCTGACTGACTGGTTTCAACGTAGGACTTTTCACAGACGTCCAGTAGTTTGAGTTTCCACACTTCCTCTATGTAACACAAAGCAAGAGAACAGAGTGAAGACAGATTCAAAAGACAAATAATAAACAGAAGTGTAAGTGAGGGAAAAAAGAATAGTAATATGGAGGAACATAAGAATTTAATTGGATATTATAAATGACAAAGAGTGAATATATCGGCGCCATTGAGAGCGATTTCGAGCCATATCACCAATTGTCTCCAACCTTCATTGGTTTTTGCTATCCCGAGGACCCCAACCAGGAACTCTATACCACCAGATGTGGCTGTCTTAAACTAACTCTTGTGGACTTGATTGGTTTGACCGCTACCACTACCTCCTTTTGAACCTGATGCTATGTCAGCTAACATCGCCCGTTGTTGAGGAAGGTGATGGCGTAACACATGTCCTATCCATCTCAATCGATGCAGTTGCTTCAAAATCTTGACGACTGATATTCCCTCCTTACCTAGGACTCGACCGATACTACACGCCAAATGCCACATGAGCCTTTTGTACGCGTGCAAGGATTTCGTCAGCAATCAGCTCGTTGGGGCTGTTGCAACTTCCACAATAAGTGAAGTGGTCAATACATCTTATTCCTCACAATATACGTGTGTAATGCGTAAATATTTACGTGTGTTTGAGCATTTTCTGATTTTTTAAATTAGAGATTAATTTACAAAGACAGTGTGCTCTTTATCATGACTAACTGTGTTTCAACAGACAGTATGGCACAGAAATGCGACCATTCATGATGCTTGATTCCATGTAACCCACAAAGGTGGACAAAAGAGGGAAAAAGAGATTCAAAACAACCATAATAAACAGAAATGTATGGGAGAAAGAGTGGTAACATGGAGAAACATAGAGACTTAGTGAATTGATAAGCGAGGTTATAAAGAGTGAATGCATCTTCACCAATGAGAACTACTTTAAAACATGTCACAATTTACTATCAGCAAAGTCTCTAAATAAACGTTAATAGAATGTACAAGTATACTTCTGATCGTATTTCTCCAGTCTTCTGCCAACCAGTATATGACTAAGCAACAATAGGCCTTGTTGTCTCCCGCCAAATGGAGATCAGTTTGAATAAACAAACGATTCAATGTTCATCAGTACTGACATATGCTTTTTGTATATTTTTGTCTCTTTTTTTTTCTTACTGAAAAATGATTCACTCGCATTCTGTTTAAAAATTATTCTTTTGTTAAGGTGAAAGTGTTCCAGTCACTAAAGTTCCATTACCTGATAGTCCATCGAAAGATAGTATGTTCGATATCAAATTGTATAGTCGACATATTTTATTTGCTGGAACAACAGTTATTCAGACAAGAAATTATGCCGATGAACGCGTAATGGCTGTGGTTGTACGTACCGGCTTTAATACAATTAAAGGCGAACTTGTACGATCAATACTCTTTCCAAAACCGCTGAAATTCAAATTCACTCAGGATGCTTTTCGTTTTGTTATCGCTTTGTCTGTTCTTGCTATTATCGGATTAGCATTTTCAGTCTATTTAATGGTAAGAAGAGTTTTTTGGTGATTGATGATATATGTGTTTTTTCATATTTTCAATTGTTGCTTAACCATTGATGATGATACCGAGAGTTGTATTTTGTCGAATAACGCATAGATGATATAATCAATTGAATGGAATGTAGAACAATCGTAAGAGTCTTGGGTCATCTCCACTGCTTCCTGTTCTCTGCTGTCCTCTTTAACTGATCCTACGATTGCCGCTAGTCTCTCATCTCCTCCTTGTACTATATCCTCCATGTTACCACTGGACACCCGACTCGTCGTTTCCCATTCGGCTTCCACTCGAAGTTCTGGCGTGGTATGTCATTTGATGGTCTCTCCTCTCAGCGTGTATCTGATCCATCTGTATTTCCTTCGGAATATTTGTTGGTCAATAGGTTGTTGGTTGGTTCGTTCACAGAGTTTCTTGTTAGTAATTCTTTCTAGCCTGCCATTTGATCTTCAATATGGAACCAGCGAAGATAGTTATTGATTAAAGTCTGCAATAGCCTATTGTAAGTGCTTTTCGTGATGGGTGAGCCAAGTTTCTGGCACATATAGAGGAAACGACTTACGATTGCTGTTGAAAATCCGAATTTCCTTCTTCATATTGAGTGCAGAATATCTTCAAACTGGTTTCAGAGTGATGACTGTCTGCTTCCTAGATAAGTGTAGAAAGTGACCTCTTTCTAATTTCTCCCTTTGATAGTGATTGGTGCTTGTTGTCGTTGTTGTTGTTGATTGGTTATCTTCATTACCCTCGTATTCTCTATGTTCACGTGGATTCCTGTCCTAGGTGCTTCCTCAGTCAGTTTATCGGTTATCGCGTGTGAGTCTTCGAGTTTGTGTGACACTAGACACAAATCATCCGCGAAATCCAGATCTTCTAGAGTCTTCTTATTGGTCCAACGTATTCCTGTCTTCTCTTTCCACACAGTCCACCACAGTTAGAAATAATATTAGTGATAATAGGCAGCCTTCGAAGGCTTCACTGAGTTTTCCGTTGTGGATCAGTCGACATGTGGGATTGTCATATATCTGTTGTGTATGAGATTGACAAAGATTTGGCTCATGTCGTGGCGTTGAAAGCAGTTTACAAATTACTTCGTAGTTATATCTGTTGTCGATGAAATTGAGGTAGAGATTTGAATGCCATCTTATGCTCTGTTCGATGATAATGCTGTAGAGTAGCAATTTGATCCGCACATGATTTATTTTTCCTGAATTTAGCCTGTTCTGGTTGTGAGTTCTGCATCCAGTGCATAGCAGTACACGGTGCATGATAAAAACGTATCCATTGTTTATTTCGTCAGTCGGTATCTCGTCAGCTGCATACAATGTGAATAGTGTAATTTAATAGTTCTATTACAGTTTTAACATACTTTAGCTCATTAGAGGAACAATAATTAATAGCGTGATCATGATATATGGATGAATCAAATATTAAGTCACTAAAATATAAAATATTACTGTACTTAACATTTTTGATTCATGTATGCATACTATGATCATTTTTAATTGTTGGTCCACGCTTTATCACCAAGGAATGATTTAAAGTATGTCAAATTTTGTAATGATCACCAAACTACTAACTTCTATTATTCAGATAATGTGCAGCTGAAAAGCTACCAATTAACGAAATAAACGATGGATGGTTTCAAAGTAGGACTATGCCCAGAAGTGCACCAGTACGAATCGCCAATCTCCATGTAACACACAAAGATAGACAAAAGAGAGGAGAAAAAAGACACATTCAAAAGAAAAATAATAAGCGGAAATGTGAGGCAGAAAGAATATTAATATATAGAAGAACAATAGGGTTATTTGGATGTGACATTATCACAAAGAGTGAATGCATCTACGCCATCACTGAGAACGATTTTCAACTATATCACCATTGGTTCTTAGAATCTGGAGGATTCCAGCCAGACAGTTTATACCTCCCTGTGTGGCCCAAGCCAACTGGTAGAGATTCTATGGACTGATTCCAAGTTTTGGTTTGACCACCACCACTAGCTCTTTTCCAACGTGGTCTTATGTCAGCTAACATTAGCCGTTGAGAAAGGCGGTGACTAGGCTTGCATGCGTAACACATTTCCTAACTATCTCAATCGATTCAGCTGCTTCAGAACCTCGTCGATTGAGTTTCTCTCCTTATCTAGCACTCGATGCCTCATCTAAGTATTACTCACTCTATTATGCCACTTAACAAGGGAGATAGAATGAAGATACCTATGAATAACGACAGCTAGCTTTTTTATATCTTCCCCAATTTAATGGCCATGTCTAGCTCATAGTTGTAAAGTAGGAGGACGGTAATAGAAATAATGTCATGGTGTTCGAGGACGTTCAATACTTATCTGCTGGGAGAGTGTGTGAATTTGTTTATTTTTCTAAACCTATTGGAAGTAAAACAGTGAAATTTTCCTACTAAAGTATGTCAATAATATAGAGGAACATTTGCTATGTTTTCCTTTCAAAGAACTCATTTTGAAAAATGACCTCAAATATGTAAATAAGTGTACATAAGCTCTAGAAACACGTAGATCGGGAAGGCTCGGATCATAATAGGACAACATACAACTGTTTTCAGAATGACTAAAGTTTTTACTCTATACTAATTTTCGATCATATACAAGAGTTCATTAAGGCCATGAGAAAGCGTATAAATGATCACTGATCACAGAAAAATGAAAATGAAATGTTATTCAACAGCCATCACTCGCAATTCTATGCAGTCGGAAATGTTCCACACTTATTTTATGTGTTTCTGTGTGATAGCTAGTGATGCTACCTAGCTGCCCAAACCTCGGTAGTTGGAGCGCGAAGTTCGAACATGTTGGAAGTCGAGCACCTTGATCAGTTAGCCATAGCTTCACTGCAGACAGTCATCAGAATTCTTCATTCGCAAGACAGTTCATGAAAAACCAATGTCATCTGTAGAGTAGATATATCAAGTGGCGAAAGAATTGTACCTTATGTTATGGTGTCCTCATATAAGGTATTCTAGGTGGATAATTCTAGGCAATAATACTACCTTATCGTATATAATGTGCACACCAAGTTCATATTTAATAGTTTGAAAATTGGCATTCATTATTCGATAAAAGATTTTTCAATTTCCTTATAAGTGAAGAAAACAGCGATATTGTTTTCGATAAAGTTTTGCTATTTAGTACTGTTTTATTAGTGCCTCTGTGGCACAGCAGTAGAGTGCTCGCCGACCACGCATGTGCCCTGGGATTCGATCCCCGGCCACAGACGCATTCCTTTACCTCGATAAACCAGTAATAAGACTGGTAAAGAGGGAAGATTGAGCATGAGGCTAGCAACCGCATCCCGTAAAAATAAACACCATTGCTACCGAAACTTCAAGCCTCTAGCTTGCAGTCCTATTTTCCACTTGGACCGTAAAAGAATACACCAACAGCTGCTTTATCAAAGCAGAATTTACAAATTCTCAACTTGCATACAGTAACTTAATCACGCTTCGTCAGCATGAGATTATTTTTACAGTGTCAAGTGGATGTGAATTGGTGAAGATAACAATTCGTGTATAGAATGTTGGATTTTATAAATGTGGAAAGTTATAAAAACGGCATGTGTTTCTACATAATGAAATCGCTTATTGTGTTTGTGTTGATTTTGTCACTTTATCCAAGAGAGAGCGATAGAGAGAGTGTGTGTTGGAACCACATCAAATTCTGTCTTCATCTGTGATTCCTATTCAGACAATTCGGAATCCATTTAATATGAGACATTCTTTGTGATTTTTGAAATTTTTTCCTGGATGATTTTAATACTGTTAGAGTTAATTTTGTGGTCTATTTGTATAACGTATAGAGACGTATAACCGACGATTTTCTAATCTTAGATTTCTTATTGATCGAATAGAGATGCTGTACGGTGTTCGTTTCTTGTGTCTTTGACCTCTCGCGAAATTTTGTCTATGGCATCAGATTCTAGGGATTTCATCTTAAAGACTCAGATTGTAAACCCCTTAAAAATTCAATCTTTTACAGATGAACAATATTACTTTTTAAGTGTCTCTCATGCCGGAAAGAATTATAATTAAGTTACGGCATAAAAAACTGAGATTTTGTAAATTCTGGTTTAATATTACTACTGTGATAAAGCTATTCAGTAGCGTTAAATAGCGAAACGTCAATAAAAAACTACAACATTTTGTTTTTTCATTCATATTGAGAAACTGTAACCAGCGGGGTCCAACAAGTCGGGTAGGGGGGGCAGTTACTCCCCTACGACCCTGACTGACAGGGTTCCAGTGACTGAATGGTGTCTACGAGCTCACCCTGTAACCGCGATATCCTGGGTTTAAACCGCGTGTAAGTGCGTACTGATGAAGGAACTCAAACTGTATCGAAACAACTGTCCAGTACTTCCTGGTTTCTAATGCTTCTCTAATTGATGTCAGCTCGTGATTAAACCTGAAATATAAAGAAAAAACTTTTACGATAACAGTTCCCTAACTTTGATTGGACACTAGTTAATGTCATGTATCTAGTCCTTTATTTGCTGCAGACTAAATTCTCTCAGTCTGTCAAGTTTGCAATGTGGCCACCATGCCAGCGATATGGTTCACTAACACATTGCACCCTGAATTATTGTTAGATGGTTGGAGGCAGTCACTAGGAAGTCTTGGTTTCACCTAGGTTTCGCGCTTGTTGACACTCACACACCAGTCAGCAAGTAGTACCTGTAGTCTTGAAGGAACTCATGATTCGAACCTGTGTCACCCAGAGTGCCACCAACCACCTAATAACAACAATTCAGAGTGCACTGTGATGGCTAGCCACACAACTAGCATGGTGGCCACATTGCGAACTTGACAGACTGATAGAATTTAGTCTGCAGTAAATGAAAGACTAGACACATGACACTAGTTACCTACTACCGAAATGTCAGCACGGATACAGAGGGCTAGTTTCGCATATACCAGTTTACTCCGTCTCTGGCCTAGTAGACGTGATATCCGGCTATCGGCCAAAGGGTGAATATACTGCTCAGCAGTCCGCTCCGTCCTCCTTTATGGCTGTGGGCGAGACATGGTCATTGACAGTGGAAGACATGAAAAGACTAGGTGTCTTTGATCAAAGGTGTTTGCGTTCTGTCTCCCGTGTGAAGTGGTATCTTATGGTCAGTAATATTGAGGTTAGGTGTTGAGCGCTAGGTAAGGAGGGGTAATCAATTGACGAGGCTGTGAAGTTACATCGACTGAAATGGTTAGGACGTGTGATACGTATGCCTGATCATTGCCTTCCTCGACGGGCAATGTTTGCTGACATAGGGTCAGGCTGGAAGAGAGCCAGCGGCGGTCAAACGAAAACATAGCTTCATCAGTCAATGAAATCCACAACAGTTAGTTTAAGCTGGCCATGTAACAAGGTGTAGACTTCCTGGTTGGGGTCCTCGGGACGGCAAAACCAATGAACGCTGGAGACAATTTTTGATATGGCTCAAAATCGTTCTCAATGGCGCAGATACATCCACTCCTGGTGACTCATAATTTCCAATGAAACTATATTGTTCTTCATTATTGCTATTCCTTTTGTTTCATTTCCCTATTTACTGTCCCTACTTCGCTTTTCTTCTACTTTCTTCTCTTGCTTTGTGCACCACATGAATGGAATGTGGCGACTTGAACTCCTGAAAGGGTGTGCAAAGTTCTATGTTGAAAATAGACAGACTTTTTTTCATTGAACACTAGTAACTATTGCGACGTGTCTAGTTCTTTCTTTGGTGCAAACTGAATTCTATCAATCAGGTCTGCAATGTGCCTACCATTTTAGGTAGCTCGCCATCGCGGTGCACATTGATTTGATGATATTAGATAGTTGGAGGCAATCGGCAGGAAGCCTTGGGTTCGAATCTCAGAGGGACATGAGTTCCTTCAAGGTTGCAGATACGCCTTGCTGACTGGTGAGTGCCAACTAGCACGAAACCTAGGTCCAGGGCTTCCTGCCGATTGCCTCCAACTATCTAATATCATCAAGACAGACAGACTGCCTAGTGTCCAATGAAAGTATCTAATACAGTCGTACAGAAGGTCAGTTAAGATCCCGAATAGCTGCTCAGTGGTAACGTCTCTGACTGCATTACTCACTGAGCAACACGGGTTCGAATCTCAGAGGAGGGAGATTTACGCCTTGCTGACTGGTGTGTGTATGAGTGCCAACAAGTATAAAACTCAAGTACAGTCAAAACTTCCTATAGCCGATTACTGTCAATCATCTAACAACGTATCTGTCTTTCTTCACATTAAATGTGCTGAATGACTTCAGTTATTTGACTCTTTTTTTCTGTACCTTTCATTCCACCATCACAATATCAATCAATATGAACTGAAGTAAAGACGTCAATTGGTTCAATTCGTGTATATTTTTGTTTTAGAGTACAGATGTTTTACTTGTATATAAAATATATATATATATACATGTGTCATTTAACAACCATTAGACCATTGTTTCTTTTGTTGTATATTCTTTCCATTATTTTGTTGTACTTTGGTTAATTGTTTCATTACATAGAAGTGACAAGATAAATTGTTTTGACTGCATTAATTCATATGAGTCATACGAAATAAATCTAGTTTAGAGTGCGCATATTTATGTATATGTATACCTGACATGTTTCAATCTGTGTCTATGGAATGATATATCAGCATACTTATATCAATTGATTATGATTATGATTAGTGTAATTAATTTACTAATTAATTAGTTAGTTATATGCCAAATTTATTTAAATACATATTCTTACTATTTCGTTTTGCACTTTTATTATCAAACATGATCAATATCAATCAAAGCAGCTATCATTATCTTGTTTAAATAAAGTGATAATCCTTCGACTAAAATGCCAAAATGGCGGTTATATTGGTTAGCTGTTTAGTTAGTTAGTTAGTTAGATAGTTATACGTCAATGAAATATGTGTGTATATGGTGATGTTTATTAACTTCTTTCTATATATATTTTTTTTATACCGAAACACCTGGCGTGATTTCTGCTTTTACAAGAAAAAAATTGGTAAAAGTGGAACGTTTGAATAATGCATTTGTTTTTTCTTCTTCTGATTTTTTTAGGTAAAAGCCAATGTTGGTATTGGGGATATTATACTGCGTGCATTGGATCTTGTTACGATTGTTGTCCCACCAGCACTGCCTGTAGTCATGACCGTGGGTATTGTTCTTGCTCAACGACGTCTACGCTCAAGTGAAATATTCTGTGTCAATCCAAGTGTCATCAATGTCTGTGGAGTGATTAATGTTGCTTGTTTTGATAAGGTATGTGTTTTTGGATGGTTTTGATATATTTTCTTTCTTTCGGTTAAATGTAAATCTCTTTCATACTTGTGTTAGATTTTGTTATGAACCAAAAGCATCAATTAGAGAGATTATTGAAAATCAGGGAGTGATAGAGATAGCTGTCAAGGTGGAATGGATGTCTATTGAAGGTGCTTTATCAACTTGAATTGACTAGGTTAGAATTCATGGGTCATTGGTCATTGAATCCCGGCCCAGGTGACTGAATAGTGAACGAGCTTAGTCTCGTTACCTGAAGGTTCTGAGCTCGATTCATGTGGGGTCTTATTGTTGAAGAGTCCCAAAATAGGACGAAACAACTACCCGATGTTTTCCTGGTCTTCTAGGATCTCTGTAACTGATATTGTTAGTTTGTGACGAAAATCTAACAACGGAAAAATTTTAACTGCATAAAAAGATTAATAAAAGTCTGTGAGTACTCATATGAGCAGTGAATCTGTGGTTGGTTGTTTGCTTCGTCTTTCTTTTAATAAGAGAATCATAAATTTGAATCCCATCGTTCTTGTGTAGAGTTTAGCTGGCATACAAACCTTGTGGACAAAGCTGTACCGTTGGTACTGAGTTTCATTCTTCACTGCTTACTTCTATCGAAGTGTATGAAGACAAAGAATGTCACCTTTTAACTTTGTCATCACAGTTGGATACGGCGGACCGTTGTGTTGTGTAGCTTTGCGCTGACTATAACCTCTTTCTAACCAGCTCTAACTCCTAGCGTAGCCATCACCGTGATGCTATCCTGTATCCTTCGTCTGCCATTGAAGCGTTGACCCAAATCGATTACATTGTAACCAGCTACCGATATCTGCTTCTTTTAGATCACTTGTTGGAATCGCCATCATGTTTTAATGTATGTCAGGTTTATCCTGTGAATCAGTGGTGATTATAAACATCGTTGACGCGAGAAAATTGATCTCATCCGTTATTGCTGCCTAGTATCAATTAGAGTTAAACTCATGGCTTCGGACAGTATAGGTAAACACTAACACCACTTCCTGCAACTTTATGATGCCCATTTGTCTATTCCGGTATGTCGTGAGTACAATACGTACACGTATTGTGTGAAGGTGTTTCTGTGTCATGGAGGCAAACTCTTGTCTTGAAGCTTCCTATTGACTGCTGTATACATTTTCGTTTGTTCTGTTATTTGGTATAGACTTTGAAAGGCTGATTGACCTGTCAAAGTAAAAACTTGGAGTAAAGTGCAGCAGTCTAAATAGCTACATTTCAGAAAAGCATACATAACGAAACTGGAATAAATGAAGGTGAACAAGTCAGAAAACGATAAATTTAAGGCTATTACTTGGTGGGTGATGACTAGCAGTGGAATCCAAGGCGTACATTTCGTCTTATTCGGGACTCGTCTGCTGGATATCCTTGCATTCTTAATGAGTAATGGTGTTCCCGATGAAATAGGAACCCAGCACCTATTGTTTCGAACTCCAAAGTATTATCCACATGATTAAATTAAACGAGATCAGTTGGTATCCTCAGAATCTGGTTGTAAACTATTTTTGGAAGTCACCGTCAGACTCCAACCGATTGATTCTTAGAGTCTCGTGCTCCATTCAGACAGTCTACACTACCTTATGCAGCTCAGACCAACAGCCAATTACTTCATGGATTTGTACCGTGTTTTAAATTAACCACTACTAACTCTTTTTCAGCCTAATTCTATTGTAGCTAACACTGTTCGTCGAGGAAGGTGGTGGTTGGGTATGCTTGACACTTGTCCAAGTCACTTTGGTGAACCGAGCTTCATAACGTCGTTGTTTGAACTTCCTCTACTTTCTGCTACTCTACGCTCAACCTCATTATAACTGATTACGAGAGGTTGAATGGAGACATCTATGTTAAAAAAACCCACCATGAACAATCACTTCTCACAGTCATAAAGTAGGATGGATTGATGAATTGCTGCAGGGTACACACATCCTTTGATAGGTAGTTAAATATCATGCTTGCACACATTCAACTATTTCAATGCCTAAGTCGAGCGTGGGAATCGTTTCAGAGCCACCGCATTCCTTGTCAAGCAATACTAGCTCACATAAGATTAGGCTGGAAAAAAATTGGAGTGGTTAAGTCTAAATATCTCATCAATCTATGATTTCTGAGACTATTGTTTTTATTGGCCAAAGGAGGTGTACACTGTCTAGCTAGGGTCCTGTAGACGCTAAAAACCAATGGTTGGATACTGTCGGTGGTGGTATAGTTCAAAGTCGTTGTCAATGGTGCAGATATACATTCTACTCTTTGTAATCTTCCAAATCCATTAGGTATTTGTATTTCTCTATGTAATTGCTCTTTCTGCCGCACATTTCTGCTTATTACCGTTGTTCTGAATTTTTTTTCTCTACTTTTGTGTGCTAAATGGAGTATAGCAAGTTGAACTGGTATATTTCAGTGCATAGTTGAAACTTAATCAGTCAGTCAGTCAGTATTGATTTTGTATTATTCATAAAGTACTTGAACAATGCTTTTTGATAGGTAGTTAAATGTAAGTCTTCAAACAATCTTTTTTCCTCTCTCTCTTTACAGACTGGTACTTTGACTGAAGATGGCTTGGATATGTGGGGTATCATACCGTATGAAGATGGTCTATTCGGTGATCCAGAACTGGATCCATCACAGATAGAAATTGGTCCATTAATGGAATGTTTAGCTACGTGTCATTCATTGACACTGATCGAAGGAGTTCTCTCCGGTGATCCTGTTGACTTAAAAATGTTTCAGTCGACTAAATGGGTAAGTAGAGAAAGAAAGCGAAAGAGATGAATTTTTCTGTCTTATGATGTGTTCAAGAATTCCTTCACATTTTTAATCCTCTGATCTATTTATCACAACCTAAACAAGATCTTAATTAAACAAACAACAGTTACTGTTTCCAATAATATTCGCACGTCTATTGATTATGAATGATCATGAATATTCCCGATCCTGGCAGCGTCGGGTAGTTCAGTGGTAGAATACTGGTCAACCACGGACGTGGTCCGGGGTTCAAATTGCTACCGACGCACCACTAAACCTTGCTTAGCCCGGGAGTAAGCCTTTTAAAGAGGGAGGGTTTGGCGTGAGACTAACAACTTCACTCTGTAAAAGTATAATATCATTGTTACTAAAACTCCAAAGCTTGAAGCCGTACACTCTACCGTTCTCTGCAGCCGGGACACAAACGGCCAAATTAAATAAAAAAAATAGTGAATAGATCGCAATCAGTTCTTTCTGTAACTCTTTTAAACTAATGTAGTCTTGATCTAGTCTGGTTGAACTCGTTCACTCTTGAATTCCATCTTTATTTTCTTTACAAGTAAGAAAATTTGAACAGATCGTATGAAATTGATTCTTTTCTGTATCCCACTGACTATTCTTAATGCTTAACTACTAACTATAGTAACCTCTTTCGATGCATTCTAATAATGGCAGATCTTGAATTTAATAATTTATAATGTTCACAGTGTATGTGAAAATAATTGTGAAAGTAAAATGAAACATTTGCTTGCAAAGCAGTCAAAAACAGTTGAATTTTCCCTTCCAACCTTCAAGTGTATTGGGAGCTTCCATTCAAACGTGTAATACAGTTATGTATGTGTACTTTATTATTATTACTACTGTTCCTTTGGGTGTTCCGAGTTGAACTTGGGATTTCATCAGCACATCTCCATGTCATCCTATTCTCTGTAGTCCTTTTCAGCACGGTTCACGATTGCTCTTAAGCTTTCATTTCGTCCTCACATGTTTTCCTCCATTTCACCGTGGAATTCACGCCTATCTCGTTGTTCCCAACTTTTATATAATATATCTTCTCCTTTCGTTTACAATCTAAGCAGTCTTCTCAGCTTCAAACATCGTGCAAACATTCCATGTTCCCATGATAATTTATGCTTTCATCGGAAGGAGACACATGGAATGATTGGGTTTCAGAAGGCTTCCACTAGTTTCTCCGATTCCAACGAAGAATAAACTTATTGTTTTGTCTGTTGGGGAGGGGGGGAGTCAATCGATGTGGTTGTAAAGCAGCATCAGTTGTGAGATGGCCACTCCGCCATCCTAGTCAAGTAACTTTAGCTGACATAGGATTAGGTTGGAAAATTGTGTTAGGGGTGGTGAAACCACCATCCCGCGTCAGTCCGTAAAGTCTCTGATAGTTGGTTTTAGTCAACCACGTAGAGAGAGAGAGATGTCGACTGAATGGCTGATTGTGGTCCTCGTACTGCTAATAACAAAGATGGCTGGAGACTATTGGTGATAAGGCGGAAAATCATTCTCACTGGTGGAGGTGCATTCACTCCTTTTTGATCTCGTATTTAATAAATCCTGATGTTTTTTTTCTCCATGGTACTATTATTTCTCCAGTGCATTTCTCCCTTTTATAGTTTTTTTGAGTCTGTTTTTTCTTTAAGTTTTTGCGATACATGAAGTGTGAGAACTTTAACTGTTACACTTCAGCGGAAATTTTTGAATTAAAACGCATTCTATCAGTCAATTTATACATTACTGCAGTTATTATTATGTGACTGTAAATAGCGAAAAATTATTTTTCCTCTTTCTGTGTAATGTGAGGAGAAAATTAAGCTGAACGTTGTACTATAAGCTGAGAATTGCACACTGTATGAAAAGTATCGTTTGATATAAGGCCATTTTATTATTATTATTATTATGATCACTGTAATAATAATTATTATTATTACCGTTATTGTATATTTCACCTTATCGATGCGTGTTGATTATCCTTAAGTTTCTCATATATATATAAAGAGTATCTTTGATAAATATGAGCATGGGAATTAAGATAACCTTATACAAAGAAGTGTGTGTGTGTGCGTGTGTGAATATGCATCATTTGACATGGTTATTGTTCACCCCTAAACACTCCATTAATTCCTTACCGTTTTCTAAAAATGAAATTTCTTTAAGTGTTTTGTTGTACAGGATTTATGCAGAAGTTTTCCACTCTTTAAGGTAAATATCTGTGTAGTTAAGCTCAAAATGTATGTGTATGTGATATAATTTTTTATTAGGTTATTTTATAGGTAGTGAAGTGGTAGACTTGTTTAGGAAGTTGCATCAGCCAACTCCAGCGGGTTGATCGCTGAGGGAATCTCAGCATAGATACAGAAAGCTCGTTTAGCATGCACCATCTCTAACTTAGTAGACGTGATACCCGATTGGCTATCGACCAAAAGGCGTGTGTACAGCTCAGCAGTTCGCTCCTTCCTGCTTTATGGCTGTGAGTGAGACATGGCCATTGAAAATGGGGGACATGAAAAGGCCGGCTATCTGTCTTTGTCCATAGGTGTCTGTGTTCTATCTCCTGTGTGAAGTGGTATCTTATAGTCAGTAATATTGAGGTTAGGCGTAGAGTGAAACCACCTACCTCGACAAGCCACGTTAATTGGCGTAGGATTAGGTTGGAAAAGAGTTAGGGGTAGCCACATCAAACAAAAAGTGGTATCACTTCATGAAGTCTTCTGCATTTGGTCCAAAAAGCCATGTAGGAAGTTGTAAACTGCCTAGTTAGTCTTCTCAGGACTCTAAGAATCAAGTACTTAGAGAGTGTTGGTGATACGGCTCAAAACTGCTATCAGAGACACAGATGCATTGACTATTTGTAATCTCCCAGATCTCTTAAACTCTGATGTTTTTACATGTTACTGTTCCTTTAGTCTCTTTTGTTTACCCTTGTGTGGTATGTGAAGTGTGGGATAACTTGATCTACTGCATTCTTGTTCCAGTTTCTATACCAAAACTCATTCAGTCTTTTTGTGAAGTGTTCTAATGGAGATGTTTTTCATGACTTTGTTGAACAAAGGGGAACGTTTGTTGTTCGAAATGCATCATACCCTGTTTTACAGTATTACAACACCCCAGAGTATGTCATTGTATTATCCAGTCGAATATTCATTTATACACGTTTTCAAGAATTGGTTTGTAGGGATTCTAATTGTTTCAGGTTGGAGCACGGATTGATAATCAGTCAGACAACCGTTGAAAACCAGGGAATACTGGACGAATTGGTAGAAACTAGAATTCATGGGCTAGCCATTGAATGGGGTCCCAGTGGCTGAGTGGTTTACGAGCTTACCTTGTAACCGGAAAGTCGTGGGTTCAAAACTCAGTGGATGCCTACTGTCGATGAGTCAGTGAGTCCCAAACTAGGATGAAACAGCTGTCCAGTACTCCCTGTTGGTTTTCAATGGTTCTCTAATTGATATCAATCCGTGGCCTAACCTTATACACATTTTTTAATTACCTGGAGGTTCAGAGATACTCAAAACCTTTTTTTTCGTAAATTTTGCTTACTTTCTCTCAGGAATTTATTGAAGAAGCTTCTGATCATTGTAAGTTTGAAATGGCTGTCCCGGCTATTGTACGTCCTTCAAGTGCAAACAGCGTGAAGAAGAACGTTTCAAAAGAAGTTGAAAATGACGTAAGTCAATGTGTACTCAGTGTTTTTATCTGTACCATTTGGTTACTGACACTATTTAGTTAAACTGTTAGCTGTATACAGAATTAATTCATCTTTTCAAAGCTGCTTCACACGCGACATTTTATATCTTCGATCTTGTTAACGTTGATGTCTTTTATGTATATATCTGTACTAATATTCTGTGAAACGTAAGGTATTAATACGGATTAAGTGTCTATCCTTCATGGAGGACACAAACCTACCAATACTGTTGTAAAAGGCCACTCAAGATTTTGAGACTGGTTTATAGTCATGTCTATTGGACCTTAATACTACGAGGTGTAAACTCGTGTTAAACATTTCATCGTCACAGTTAGATTACAGGAGCAGTTACGGCAGATAATTCCTGATGTATGCAGTGAATCGTTCTATTGTTTTAAAAGGTTATGTTATCATTTTTAGAACTAGCTATAAAATTTTAACTATGAGCAGTATTCACCTCAATGATCAGCTACTAATGGGAAAGTTTCAAGTAAGATCATGCATTGATATCAGTTAGAGAATTGTTGAAAACCAGGGAGTACTGGACAGCTGCTGGTATTTCACTCTAGTATGGGGCTCTTCAGTGGTACTCTGGTAGGGATGCCAGCTATATTGGTCGAACTCTCGACCATTAAGTTACAAGGCGAGTTTGTTGACCAATTAAATCATTGGGACAGAATTCAGTGGACCATGAAGTTCAACTTCTACCAATTCACGTCATATAGCCTAGTATTTCTTATTCAAGCAACAAGTACATTAAATAACTTGTAATTATTGTTTCTGGTGCGTTGTATAAACCATCTATGAATCATTCTTCGTCAAAGAAAAAAAAGTTTTATAATGCTACATACACATTTTTATCGTACGTATATTTAGAATTCAGTAATGAAAAAGAAATCTACACCCACTAAAGTGAGTCGAATCTGCTGCTTAATACTGTTAATAATTTTTGACGAGTTTTACTCAGGTTCGACGCGTCGATAGTGGTAGAATACACTCGTCAACTATATCCTGTTTCGATTCTCAGCCGACAAACTCGTAACTACCTCCCCTCCGGCGTAGCCGCCAGTAAACTGGGTAAAGATAGGAGGTTGGGCTTGAAGCTAGTATCCTCCCCACTGCTCTGTAAAAGACAAACATCACCGCTACTCAACACTTCAGAGCCTAAAGCCTGAAGGTCTATTTTCCACTTGGAACTTAAAACAAATGAAGAAAGAGTTTAAGAGTGACAATAAGTCTAACCATCTCTTCATCATTAAGAAGAATGTAGTTTCTTATGAGTTGACTAGTAGCACATTTGTCTTAATTGGCGATAAAATTCTTTCAATAATTGGCAAGCTTCCACGTCTGTGTACATATAAGGTGTTAAATTTCAATGTTATAGTCTGGAAAGAGAGACGTTATCAACACATGCACACACACACAGCACGGAGAATAAGTGAACAGTAATCGATACAGCATATTTTCACATCAACTTTCATTTATTCTTAGATCTTAACAACAAGAAAAGCAAAAATATATGCTAAGAATAATACCAGAAATAATAAGGACTCCTACGATAAATACTATTACTACTACTTCTAATAGTAGTAATAATAATAATGGCTTTATTCTGTACAATAAGTTTACCACAAAATGCACAATTTCCAGCATAGTTTATTGCATAAAATTTTCTCTTCATCCAGGAGTTTCAGCTAAACACAGCCGTCTCCAGTACATCGTGTGATGCAGCAGTGCTGTTCGATAAGAGGAGTAAAATAACCTTTAATGGTATTTTTCTCTGGCCTACAAGAAATATAAGCAACGGTAGGTTGCAAACCAATTAAAAAAAATGTGCATAAGTACATTTAGCGACCTATGGGCAGCAGAATTGAAAAGACGGTTGCAGCGAAGAAGAAAATTTTTTTTTCGACCATGTCAACATCAACTAAGAGGCTGTACATTTGTGTAATGTGTGAGAAATTTACAGAATTCTTTCCGGTCAAAGGTTAAATTAATAAAATTACGAAGTGTAATAATCAGGAAGGTTGGGTAGAAAAGACATAATAAGATCATGATTACTGAAAAACTTGAATGTTTGTACAAATTACGCATTAAGGACGTGGTAATAACAAAATAGGTAGGCAGTTCTGACATATATAAAAATAAAAAAAACAGCAACCAAATCTAGTAATGCAGATAAGAATTAAAAACGTTAAAAAATACAGAAATAAACAGGAGGGTTGGATAAGAAAGGTAATGACTATTGGTGGGACTAACTTTTCATGATGGCCCAAGGTAGGCACAACGGTTGGACGTATTTCCTTTGAACACATAACGTGGGCCTAAGCTTTTGGACCGTCAGTGAACCAACTATTCCTAGACGCCTTGATTTCACTCCCTTTGATAGGTTTGATCGGATGTTGTATATGACTTTGAAGGACTTTTCATCAAATGGGGAGCTGAATGTCCTGAATTCACAAGATGTTCTTTTAACGAACTATATACGCCCTTGAGTTCTCTCTTTGCTAACCATGCTGGATAGTGTTCCTGAGTGCGTTTTACAAATTGACGCATGGTACGGTCAATGTACCTGGCTCCACACGAACAACTCAACTGGTAAATGCATAATTGAATCATCATTACAATAAGAATTGAACAAAATAAGATGCAGGTAGACTAGTGATTCAAGCAGACAGCCTTTAATAATAAAGATGTGTAGTGTTTGTAGAGTTTAAATGAGTAATATCCAAAGCGATTTTATCAAAGCATCTTATCTAAAGGGTAGGACCACGTGTTGCACCTCTGTTTTCTGTCTATATTATGCATTTCTCCTACTTTCTTCTCTTGCTTTGTGTGCTGAGTGAAGTGTGGTGACTTGAGCTGCCGCACATATGTGCAAAGTTCTATGTCGAAAACCGACCGACTGACCGACTGCACATGCTGAGTGAGTCACTACCTTCCCCCACGAGCAGTGTCGGCTGACATAGGATCAGGTTGGAAAAGAGTTGAAGATGGTCAAATCAAAACTTTGTTTCAATCCATAAAATAATTGGTAGTTGATTTGAGCCAGCCACATAGGGAGGTGTAAACTTTCTGGTTAAGGTTTTTCAGGATACTAATAACCAATGTCTTAAAACTGTTGATGATATGGCTCAAAATCGTTGTCAGTGGTGCACTCACTCTGTCTAACCTTCCAAATTCACTTAGTCCTTATTTTTCTCCATGTTATTAGGCTTTTTGCCGTAGATTTCTTCTCACTATAGTTGTATTGAAGTGTTTTCTGTACCTCTTTGTGCTATATGGAGTTTGACAAGCTTAAACTTCTGTAAATCTGTGCAAAATTCCACGTTAAGACTCAGTCAGTTTGTCTGTCTGCTAAATGGGATATATGTATTTCGATTGCTTTGATGAATTTAATCAATGTACTGGTTATTCTGTACGCTGTTTACCTGAACAGTCCGATATTACACATAGCTTATTGTTTTTTAGTAGTCAACGTTCTCTTCTTAATATCTAGTGGCTGATTCAAACCAACTATCAGTGACTTCCTGGATTGATGCCATAGTTTGACAACCTCTAATTTTTTCCATCCTAATCCCATGTCAGCCAACATTGCTCGTCAACGAAGGTGGTGGCTCGGAATGCGCAACATTTGTGTCCTAGCCATATGAGTCGACACAGCCTCACGATCTTATCGACTGATTTCCCTCCGTTAACTAACACTACGCCTACGCTCAATGTCGTGTTATACCATTTAATACAGGAGACATAACACAAAGAGCTATGATCAAATACTGCCAGCCTTTTCACATCTTCGGTTTTCAATTATTACATCTCACCAACCATAAGGAGGTACAGTAGGACAGTACATCAGAGATGATATAGATTGACAAATGCCAAATGCGCTTTTTGTACCTGTAATACTGAGACTTGAATCACCTTTACTTCTTTTTCTCTTTCTCCTTTTTTCCTATCCTCTTCTTCGTTCTCCTCGTCGATGTGTTGTGTAACACACAGGATATTCCATATGAAGTGGGCATTTTACGTCAATTTCCATTCAGTTCATCGTTACAACGTATGTCAGTCATTGCTCGTGCATTGAATCGAAATCATTTCAGTATATACACTAAAGGTGCACCAGAGACAATTGAACAATTATGCAGATGTGATACGAGTAAGTAACTCATAAAATATTATATATTATTATATATTTATTGATTTTTCATGTATGCGTGCATACATATATATTCATGTTTATTTCTCAGCCCAATTAATAGTGTAGGAGAAAAAAACGATAACAATAAATATTTTAGAAGCTGTTATTCGAATTCAATGACTCTAACCTTAAGGGAGGACAAATTATTTCACTGAAGTAACAAAGATTATTCACGAAGTTTAGAGGATGCATAGTTTTATGATTTGAAGTGATGAACTTTAATTGCTTGCTATCGGTAAAAGCAAAGTCCATGAACAACACTACATTAATTGGCAAGCATATATGTATATATATAATGCATTAGAGTCCTGCTGAAACTTTCACAAATGTTTATTAATTTCTAGTAATCAGATTTTGTGACATTGAAAAAAAACACCCGTATGAGTCGAACACATGATGATCTATGGTAGTGATAATATTATCATTAAACTTGGACTGTGAAAAGAAGCGACAAAGTAAACGTAGGTTTATCAACATTGTTATTTTGTAGGTTACAGGCTTGTTCACAAGCTGGTATCACTATTGGAACTATTGGAAAATCAACTGTTTTGTCCTAGTTTGAGACTCTTCAATGAGGTTAAGACCTGGTGGGTGGTTGGGTGAGTGAGTGAGTGAATATTGAGCTTTCGTTTCAACCTATCTGGGTTCGAATCCCGGTGGGTGCGTACTGATGAAGAATCCCAAACTAGGACGAAACAGCTGTCCAGTACTCCCAGGTTTTCCAGTGGTTCTCTAACTAATGTCAGCTCATGATGAAAATCCTGTAACCAATCAAATCCCTACAAACCAACACTTGAATATCTGTGAATAGTAGTAGGTAGAATGGGGAAGGTTAAACTGTGATTTGAATTCCCTTAGATTGTGTTGGTCTAACGTGATATTTATATTAAGTTCTTAGAGGAACGTAGGCAACTACTGTTTTATTGCATCCCACTGCATACCTGACTAAAACATCCTTAAGACATACATACACACACACACAGTCACAAAACGCTCCAAAAGACAACGTGAAGACGGTAATTTGCAGGAAAATCTCTTGTTCTATTCAACAATATGAAAAACTCTAAATTGCCGAAACAGTGCTGTTAGGAGGCTGTACAGGCTACATAAATTTATGGTGCAAACTAAGTACTGTGGAATAAAATTAGTTAACCAGAATTCAGCCATAAAAATTACCTTAGGATCAAGCAGAATATTCTCAACATGGTGGAATCGAAAACTCTGTCCACAAGAATCACACCAACGATTCCTGCAGACAGTTCAAGGTCGGAATGACTCTGATTCACTCGAACAAAATCACTTTATAAAACAACACATTATCAATGTATTGCACAACCACAAAGGGAAACATCAAAATTAGAAATTACAGAACGGAGGGGGGGGGGGCAAATACAACTAATAAGGATTAAGTCAACAGGGGATATGCAAATGTTGGGACAATGAAATACAGTCTAGGAGAAAAAAGAATATTAACTACAAAGTCAGTTGAAACATCCAAATAAGTATGATTTTTGTAATCAGATCGTTCAGGAGGGATTTCCCAAGCAATTATTCCATTACAGTTACGTTTAACTGTTTTATGAAGTTTCTTTCTCTCACACAACTGGAATATTTGTTGTGACGTTTGCTATATAATATACGCAAAAACACCTCACAACTGCTTTTATGCCCCCAGCTTTATGAACAATAAATCGTTTTTGAAACGTCTTATTAGTAAATAATACTGTCTCACTTTTTGTGATATATCCAATAAACATATTAGAATGGAATTACATACACAATCTCATTGCCCAAGTTTCATACGTACGAATACGGTAGAATAACCGCCAACCACGCCACATGTGGTTCGGGTTTCCAACCCCGGCCGACACACTCCTAAACCTCACTTGGCCAGTAGTAAGCTCGTTAAGGAAGGGGGGAGGTTAAGCATGAGACTAGCAACCTCACCCCCGTAAAAGTGCAAATCACTGCTACTGGAACTTCAAAGCTCAAAGTTTGAAATGATATATATTCCACTCGGAACGTAACGAAATAAAATGATTTTCCTTCGTACACAGTTCAAGTGTTCTATTTGTCTGTTGACTACTTTACAGCGGTTAAATTACTTATCTTTATTGCGAAATACGGGCATTTTTGCATGAATGCAATGGAATGCAAGACATGCATCTCCTCACCCCGTCTTTGTAACTTATTAATTGTGTGTATATAAATTCCAGTGAATGTTTGGGTCTTCCCATTGAAACATTTCAGCCACCATAGTGTAATCTATCACCAGGCTCTAAGAATTATACAAACCTCCTGTTATATAACAGAATCGCATAACAATCGGCAGGAAAAAAGGACTAGACACGTCACACTAGTTACTAGTGTCCAATCAAAGTATAACAATCAATATTTTATTTTCTCATTTTGTCAGCTGTAAAAAATCAATAAATATTACGTTTGGCTTCTTAAAGTTTAAGCTGCTGACTGTCACTCTACTAAATAAACATCGGCTGAAATTCCTGTTGGTGTTGCGATCAGAGTATTTTGGGAGATCACAGCTATCACAATTTTCCCTACAGTCCATGTAATCGAATCTTCAGATTTTAACATTACTTTCTCAAGGAAATATTCATTTACTGCTAAAAATTTGTCACAATCACTTTCTGTATTTATTAGTAATTTTACCAAAATAGAGGGCATACTAAGAGTTTTGTATTGATAATTAATTCGATAAAGGCATCGACATTGTCTAGGTTATATATTACAATCTGAGCATATCCTGCGAACATAACTGATAGAATTCAATGGACTGGACACATGACATCGACATTAGTTACTATCTAGTAGTATCCGAAGTAAATATCCATTACAGTCATACAAAAAGTCAATCGCGAGCTTGAATAGCTCAGCGTTAAAGTTTTTGACTACAACACTGAGTGACCAGGGTTCGAATCTCAGAGGGGACATAAGTTCCTTCAAGGATGCAGATACACGCCTTGCTGACTAATGGAAGTGCCAACAAGCACGAAACCTAGGTGAAGCAGAACTTCTCGCCGATTGATTGATTGCCTTCGGCCATTTAACAACAAATCAGGCTGCACCGTGTAATGGTTAGCTGGCTACCTAGCCTGGAGACTACACTGTAAACTCAACTGATAGAATTCACGACATCAGTTACTGCCTAGTGTTCAGTGAAAGATACTGATGTAAGACTGTGGCCTTTCTAATTCCTTTATGAAGAAGTATGCTAGATGATTTGAGTAGTGTATTGTTATGATGCTGGATCCTTTGTCACCAGGTCACTGCTTAACTACTGACCAGTGCCCACTTAACTGGTAAAGCAGAACACGAAGAGAATCAACGGTAAAACCAGGTTCATTTATTATGACAAAAGTGACTGTATTTATACAGAAAATAAGGTAGACTGGAAATCAACCAATCCGGTTGAGAGTTGGAATTGTGCAAGCGTCCAATCAGAAGCAGGAAAAATTGCATGTCAACGACTTGTTAATAACGCGATAATAACTTGATAATTGCATGTGTTTTGCCTCTTCCTAACACTTCCCCTTTTAAAATAGGGCTACCGGTAGCTTTGTATCGCGGAATCACTTGTAGGTACTTTGGGGGTCTTGGTTGTCGTTGTGATCTCCTCGGCTGCTGGGACACTGCCTTTGTTTCGACTATTTTGGCCATGTGACGTTTTCGGATCCGTCGTATCTATCAATAGCTCAAATTGTACGTCGGCGGACTTGGAATCGTTCAACTGTTTACCAACTAGTCTATTTCTTATTTGATTGGCATGCCTGACCCAAATAAGGTCTCCAACCTTGACCTTGTAAATGACTTGGCCTTTTCTTCCAACGATCACTCCAGAAACCCATGGGTGATCTCTCCGTATGTAATCACGAACTAGTACCGACTGACCAACCATGAAACTTCTTTGCTTGGTGCCATGACGTCTATTGAACCAAAATTCACTATTTCGACCACATTTGCCCCGTCTTGATGGGATCGGGATAATTGTATCCAAAGTAGTACGTAATCTTCTTCCAAACATAACTTCTGCTGGAGATGTTTGATTTGGGCATGATGGGTTCGTTGTGGTTCGATAAATGAAGAGGAAATTGTGCAATACATCCTATATCGATCCCTCCCCGTTTGACTTCTGAAGTGCGCGCTTGAGTGTATCGACAAAACGCTCTGCTTGTCCATTTGACTGAGGATGGTAATGCGGGCTGCGAATGTGTTGAACACCTAGCCGCTCACAAAACTGTTTGAATTGTTCAGCTGTAAACTGAGGTCCGTTATCGGAAACGATGATCTCTTGACTACTAACCAATCAGTAATCAATTGTCTATTATATCTCTTTCAATAATTATATTTTCTTGTTAAAAGCCTCACTAACTACTCCAATGACTATATTTTTGTAATTATGCTTACACACAGCATAACATATCTAATCGTTTTTCACGATATATGTACTTACTGTCAAACCCGTATCTATAATTCAGGTCAAAGTTCATCTATGAATCAACAAATTTAGAATTCAAGTGTTGGTTTGTAGGGATTTGATTGGTTACAGGATTTTCATCATGAGAATTAGAATTAATAAATGTGTTGAAAATGTGCTTAAGTACTATTATTATTATTATAATTATTAATCTATAGATTGTGTGTGTTGGCTTGCTAAAATATATTTAATTTCAATGATTGTTGCATCATCTTCATTCGTGACATTTTACTCTATGTCAGCAAAATATTTTCAACCTATGGTCATGAATAAGATGGTCACTAATGTTCATTCTACATTTTTTTTTAATGGTGACATAACAGCTAAAACTCTCTACAGTTGTTGAAAGAGCGGATAAACAGTTTACAGATAGTAAATTACACATATATTCCACGTTTTTTCCACTTCACATATGTTCATCTAAGTCAACTAATCATCATGAAATATTATTATTATTGTTATT